AATAAATAAAATCCAACTTCATTGAGTTCTAAAATACAGATATAAATATGCAGAATATAGATAGATATTTATCTTGACAAAATTGACCAAGTTCAAGTTGGATAATCTGATTTGTTTTAGAATATTATAGAAATGAAATCAAGCAGCTTTACGCTGCTTTTGTGTTTGGCCTTTTATACTCAGGATAATGACTCTGAGCATCATACATGAAATTCAGTGAAACAGTAGTTTGTTCCTTTGCAGTCCTGAGAAGGATTTCATTGAATGGGATACAACCTGTGATCCAAAGATCACAAGGAACATTTGAGTTATTGCTAGTTTCTAGCTATTATGAATAAAGCTCTTATGAGCATACAATTATAAATCTTTGTGTAGATATGTATTTTTATTGCTCTTGAGTAAACAGTTAGGAGTAGAATTGGAATGATAAATGTCTGTTTACCTTTGTAAGAACTTGTCAAATGGTGGAGCAAAGTGACTGCTATTTTGCATTCCCATTTGTAATGGAAAAGATTAAAGTTGTTCTGCATTGCTTGATAATACATAAAATTATTAGTCTTGAATTTTAACCTTTCCAGTACTTACATAGTAATACTTCAATGTGGATTTAATTTGTATTCCCCTAATGATTAGTCATGTTGAGTAGCATTTCATGTGCTCAGCTGTATAACCTTCTTTGGTGAACTGTTTAAGTGATTTTCACATTTTTAATAGCACTGAATTAAAACATTATTAAGCTACTCTAATAATTATTGAATTATGAGTCCTATAGATCTTCTATGAAGAAGAAAATTACTTCATAAATATTCATTCTATGACTGTTTTTTTGCATTTACTTAAGGGTATTTTAAGCTTGAACAAGTATTTAAATTCTTCCACTAAATTATTATGTTGCCTCTGTAAACATTCCTTTATTTTAATGTGTAGTGGCCTGCATTGAAACTTTATTTTGTTCTATTACTCATAAAATGCCAAAACCAGACTGCCTTGATTGGTATAACTGTCAGTCGGTGAAAGTCCTCTAACTTTGCTCTCTTTAAAGAAAAGTTACTTCTACAAAGCCATCTGTTGGGATTGCCATTGGGGTTATGTATATTAGACAGATCCATCTGGGAGGAGCTGAAATCTAAACACTGATTCTGATGTATGACCAACGACTATTTCTTCATTCATGTCATCTTTATGTTCACTCAGTCGTGTTTTGTTGTTTTAAGTACAGAAACCAAAGGGAAGTGGTAAAGGTGAACATATCAACAGTATTTTTTATGCTAGTGGGAGAAGGCATTTAATGTTTAACCATTAAGCATGGCAATAGTTTTTGTTTTATTTAGAATCTATTCATAACATGTGGAAACATATCTCAGGCTTGCTTTCTGGCTTTTGTATGCAAGATCAGAGGTGCATTTAATTTGGGGCTGTGTTTTTTTGTATTTGAGATTCCTTCATTTAGTTTATCTGTCTTCTTTCATATTTCTCTAGTTCTAGCCCTCTGCCTTAAGTGGTCTCACCAATTCATTAGGTTTAATTTTTACTTCTATGGCATTGAACAAAAATGTTGCTAAAATTTCACAAATGTTTTCATTGTTTTTTCCTTTAGGTCTCACCAGCCTCGTGAACAGCCCAGTCACAAAGCCACTCCTACATTTTCCTTACAGCTGTAGTTAGAACCAGATACCCACACTAAGTTGTATTTATTGATACTGACTACCTCCAAATACATAAACATTGTTTTTATTCATGTAGCTTCTATCTAATTTGATAGTTCAGAGGAAGTTTAATTGACAGTTTAGGCTTGGTGATTCTTATGAAGGTCAATCCAGTGTTACCTGGGATTGTACTCTAAATACATGACTAAAGGCTCTTTCTCAGGTGCTTCTTCCATCTGTCTGGTGAGTTGGTGCTGGTTGTTAGTTAAACCAGATTCTGATTTCTTCTGGGAATTACATTCAATTTCCAGAAGTTGTTTGAAAGGCTTTTCCGCAAGGCAGCTTCAACAGTACAGAAACCCACCAAAGACCAACTTATAAAAACAACAGTGCCTTTTATAACTTAGACGTAAAAGTCCTAAATCATTACTTCCTTCATTTTAGTCATTATCCAGCCTCAATAGGAATCTATATGGTAAGGGGCTCAAAAAAAAGTGAATACTAGGATGGTAGAGAAGATTAGACAAGTGATATGTGAACATCATACTTAGATGATAGAAAATGGGAGTTTGGATAACATAAGTAGCATAACATGAACACTCATTGATTTATGAACTGAGTCTTGCTTGGGAAGGAATAACTGGCCCCATGGATACTTATATGACACAGGAAAACCACTGAAGTAAATCCTGTAATGAGTATGAATGTCTGAGACACAGGAATGGCAATATCCAAGCACAGGAGAATTTGAATGTGCCAGCTCAGAGGACTTGAAGTCACCCTTATTTTGACTCATGTTTTATTTGGGCTTTGTGCATAGCCACACTGGTGAGAGTGATCATTTCTAAGTCAACTGATTCAAGTGCTAATCTCTTCCAAACACCCTCATAGGCACACCTAGATCATGTTTGCCAGCTACCTAGACATATCTTAGCATGACCAAGTTGACATAAAATTAACTATAACAGTCCACAAACTTCAGGTATAAGTTAGGTCTTGTTTTGAAACTATTGGCATGTACTTGCAAAAGATCACTTAACCTTGATAGATACATTCCATAGCTTTCACCATAGATCAGTGTCATGGTGCAGACAAATGGAGCTGGGTGCTTGGCTGACCCTGATCAGCTTTTAGACTAATACAAGCTTGACAATATATACACATTGTACAGTGCATTATCTGCTCTCCTTGACTTGATTTACATCCAGACACAGGCTCAGATCTCCTATACATTCCCAAGAAATATTTAAAAATTCTAAAGTTCAGTACTTAGAAAACATCACAACTCTAGCTTCAAATCTTTCCCCTTAATGGTGCTACAGTGAGGAGTACAACGTATTCCTTTTAGGTCTGTTCTAGTAATAGCAAATTTTAGCAGTTAGAAAAATTCAAACTGAACTTAGAATACCTTTTTGATAATTTCCCTACATGAAAATACATTTAATAGCCACTAAATGTATTATTTAAGTTCTCTAATGATAAGGAACAGAGCCATACATATCTAAAATCTCCAGTTTAAAGTAGTTCATTAAAAATGCAGGCCTAGTTTTTAAACCTTGTTTTGTTGTGTTAGTATTTTATAAAGAACTACTATAGAAAATCTATTTTAAGAATTCAAATGTTATTTTTAGAAGGTTAAAATTTAGAAAAGACTTCCTTTCCACAGTAGGTTAAGATGCTGAATTGCATAATTTCAAAAAATTAAAATCCCAGGTTAAATGGTTTGGCAAGACAAAGGAAGGTTTTTTTTTTTTTTTGCCAGTCATGGGGCTTGAACTCTGGGCCTGGGCACTGTCCCTCAGCTCTTCAGCTCAGGCTAGTGCTCTACCACTTGAGCCACAGCACCACTTCTGGCTTTTTTCTGCTTATGTGGTGCTGAGGAATCGAACCCAGGGCCTCATGCATGCAAGGAAAAATGGCAGAGAAAGACTCAAAAACAGTAATATACAAGGCATGTCTGAAGGATGATGTGTCTAGTTACTATACCACAGCATGTACACAGCGGTAAAAGACGTCAACACCATGCTTCTGAAGCCTTCTGTTCTACACAGAATGAGCAATAGTGAAAATTCCTAAAGAGGAGATGTATATGGCAGATGGAGAATTATTATTTCTATGCCTCTAGTAGTAGTGGATTTTTTTAACTAGAGACAAAAAGGACCAATTCCCTTTAACATAATGACCCTTTGTATTTCTGAAAATTTCCATAATGTTCCTCTATTAAGGGTAATAATACAAAAAGTGAGAAAGAAGAAAGGTGAAACCAGTTAAGAAGCCATTTAAAATTTTTACGTCTTGAAATAAAGCAAATTTATGTCATCCACAGTAAGAAGAAAAAGGAATAGCTATAGTTCAATATTATTACAAAGTATTTTCCAACTGAGAAATGTTCTTACAGGTTGAATGTGCATTTTACTTATCTCATTTTCCAAGTCCTGACAAGATTCGCAGATGGTCTCAAGAACAATTGGAGATTTTCAGAAAGACAATGTTTATTAAGGAGCCCACCCATCACATGCTTTATTGTACACTTTTCTATTTTTTAACCTATATTTCTTGTTACTGTAAGTATGCTAGAAATCATCAATAAACTGCCTATATATAAAAGTTGTTTATGTTCTATTCCTCAAAAAGCCCTTCCAGCATGGAGCACTACTTTCCTATTGAACAAGTCTCAAACTCAAACTCATGGCCCAGCAGCATGCTGCATGCTACAATGAACTCAAGTAATGCCCACTCTATGTCAATGTTAACTCATTAATATTTTCTGAATATTTGGCAACTTCATATTGACGATGGAAACATTAAACCCCCTTTCAAAATTACGAATGCTAAACAATATAATGAGTTCCTTCAGGGGGTCTTGGTAACATATAAGATAAAGTAATGCTTTAAAAAAATTAACTTTTAACTCAAGAAAACTAATTCAGATATTGACCATAGTTAGTGCTAGACTGCTTGTTCATTCGTTTTTCTACAGCATAACTTTAGGGACTGAAAGAACAGATTTATAGCCTATTAAGTTGGAAAAGGTTTTCATCAAAGATGGATCCTGGGTGATTTTTTAAAAATAATTATATAGATTCAAAAAAATTACACTTAGTCTCAAATAATCCAACCTACTTGTCATAATACAGGGCACTGAATATAAAATATACATAATCATTTCAAACTCAATTTATCACATAAAGGGTTTTGTTAAAATGATTGGAGATCTAAGGTAATATTTGTTTAGAACGTTCTAGAAATTCTATCTTTATGGCAATGTTAGTGATAAGGCTCATGTTAATGAATTTTAGTATTCAAAGAAAAATTTTCATTGTAATTACATATATTTCAGCTAAATATATTTACCTGACAATGCCTTTGGTGTTTCGGAGAACTGTTGCGGCAAAATTCTGTGTAACACCCACCAAACTGATTCCATCCACTTCCACAATCTGGTCGTTGACTTGTATTCTTTGGGAAGAGGAAATCAAATCAAAACTAATGTATCTGATTATACAATACCATTCCCAATAAAGGAATTAAAATATGAATCCTTACTGGTCCCAAATTTATCTTTTATATACAATAAATCCAGGATTTTAGTCACATGTTTGATATCTTTAAGAACATATTTTACAAGAATAAATAATGCTGAATGGAGGGATTCAATTTACCATACATCCATATTTATAACACTTTTTGTCCTTGGTTAATCAAAACAGTTTTTTGTTTCTGTTTTAGTATCAGAACCTTGTCTGTTCTCTTCTTTTTATCCAGTCACATAAAATCTAATTGTAATTATGACATTATGAGATTCGTGATAATTCCAATAGAATTAGAGATTGGGGTATGTAGTGGAAAGAGCCAGTGATGAAACTGAAATAGTGGTCATAAAAACATTGTGAAGGTCCATGAAGATGATACCAGGAGGTCTGGTCTTTTCCCTATTTTTTGATGAAAAAGTTTATGCTCAAGAAGAATTCAAGTGATAACAAAAAGAAACAAATTAGCTGAACAACAGGTCTACCCACAATATAATTCTGAATAAACCAAACCATATATTTACCTGTGCAATAGGAAACAAGTGTTTAGCTACAAGGGAGACTGTATAAAAGAAAATCCTATTGAATCTGTTTATATTAGTAATGATGATGCCAATCATGAGTACTGGAAAGGGTAAGGAAACAAAATTTAAGTTATTTATTGCAAGAAGAATTAATATGATATATTGGCCAATTAAACATAGAAGGAAAGAGAAGGGGATGGAATCTCCAACCTGTCTCAAAAGAATTTCCCATAGGCATAGAATGCAGTCAAGAATCCAATATATATCCTACAAAATTAAGAAGAGTGAGAGAACAGTGGGTTGGGGAGGGATGGATGAGTATGTTGAAGGGGGATCAAGATATATTGTGTTCATAAACTGCTTTATTGAATGGCCAAAACCTTTTAAAACTAAAAAATAGATAATTAACACTCATATACTCACACTCAAGTTTTCAAATCTTGGAAGTAAGTAATATTTGAATCATACTTTTCCATTTCTACTAGCAGGTGAAGGGTTTGCAAGTAAAACTCCTGGCTATGTGCTCTTAAAGATTCTGTTCATTTCTTGAGTTGCTTTACTTAATGTACTAATGGAAGTATTCATTATTCACCTACTATATCAACAATTGGCTTGATATACCAAATAAATGTTCAGGAAATACACAATGTGATATGGATATAAATGGATATAAATAACTACACAGTAGAAGAAATTCATTAAATAGATGAATAGAAAATAATCCTAACTTTAATAAACAGCAAGGGAAATCTAATTTGTCTGTGTTTAGTATACCAGGAACTAGCTAAGTACTGAATGTAAAATATTATATTTTTAATTTGGTTTAGATTTGAGGCAATTCACATAAGAGAAATGTTTCAAAATGATTCATTCTTGTTTGAATACAAAGAATTATTTATTACTTTGGATTGCTCTTTAAAATTTTGATCAAAATAAATGACAAATAGTATGGATTTTAGAAACAAATTTAAGTTCATCTGAAAGAACTTTATTAAATTAATAACTGAAAAAACTACTACTATTATGTAACTCACTGAAGAGGTTGAAAATGTTACTTCCTTATCTACATTTATAAGAAGACAGACAAATTACTTTTAAACACAGTATTTATATTCTACTTTCTATTTTTTTTGAGGTTCTGGCCTCATGTGTGCTAGGAAAGCATTCTACCATTTGAGCCTCACTTCCAGCCCTTTTGTTTGTATAGGAAACGGGGTTTCCTTGCTATCTTAACCCAGGCTGGCTTAGAACTTACTATCCTATTGCCAGCCTTTCTTGTAGCTGAGGTTACAGGTGTGTACCACCACACTCCACCTTAGTTTCTATGTGATGTACATGCAATAAGTAGAATATGCAATCAAAGGATTCATTCCAGATCTTTTCTGTGCTAAATACTATATTCCATAAACAGGAACACAAAGAAAGCTACTGACTTAAGATGTGGTTCCCAACCATATGGAAAAGAAAATACAGAAGATATAGCTTTCAATCTACATAAATCAATTCAATATCCCTTGAAATATCTATGTCTATCAACATCTGTTTCCAGAATTACAGAACTTTTCTACGGTTCTCAATATAAGCTCACATCTAATGTCAATATGCTTTATAAATTTCCTGATAGTATGGTTAAGTGAAAAAAGCAACATTCATTTAAAAGGTGAATCCATTTATGCAATGTTTCTAAAAAAAAAAGTAAGATAATATTTTTAATTGGCAGACATATTTCAGGGTTCAATTTCATTTAAATTGCCAATCTTCTGCTTCTAATTTTAGCCCAACACGTTAGGAACCTAATAAAGATTTTTATTAATATTTATTTTATAATTATTTATATTAAAAATATGTGGCTCTTGAGATGATGAAGGCCAAAGCATCAAACTGCTGACCTGAAATGCTGTGAAGCAGAATTAACTAAGTAGATGAGTCCATGTAAACTGCCACCCCCTACTCAGCCACAAGCTTAGGTATCATGAAGGCCTGTGCTTTTATATCAAAAGCTTGGGAAGAAACATGTCTATAATGCTTATCAATGCATAAGCAGAGTTCTTAGTTTCCGTTTACTCTATCATTTTCAACAAGGGGAAAACTATGCTCATTTGTTTCACTATTTCTGAAACAAAACTCCATAGTCCACATTCTTCAACTATCCACACGGACAGATACAAGTTGGCAGAGACAGGTTTACTGTCTCGATTTTCTAATATGTATTAAAGCAGATATTCTATCTACAAGTCAGAAAGTAATTCAAGTGTTATCATATTTTCCACATCAGAAAAATACTCTAAAACTCTGTTTAAAAAAAAAAAGAGGGGGAGACTGAGGGAAAGCAAAATAAGAAGTGACAGTGTTGAAAAGAAATAAACACATTACTTGAATTGTGAAATGTTCATCCCTTTATACAACACTTTAATAATGGCAATAAAATCATATTTTTCAATCAAAAGATTAAAAAAAAGATACCACTAAAAGAACTTGCCAGAAGAATTTCCTAGGACCTTCTGTCACTTAAGGACTACAGCTCACATACCTGCCATCCCGCTGGGCAGCGCCACCTTCTGTTACTGTCTTGACAAATATTCCCAGTTTCTCAAGTCCAGCATCTGCTCCAACACCCATTCCAATAATGCTTATACCAAGACCATCCTCATCTATGAGAAAGAAAACAAAACAACATTAATTTTTTAAACTTATTCAGCTGCCTTACTTAACTGGTGAGGCTTTTATGCTGCTTCAAATTTGGGCATCTTTCTTATTAGGAAAGATTATGTGATTGGCTAGGCAGAATTGTTTTCTTTTTTTGGGTCCTGTCGTGGGGCCTGAACTCTGGGCCTGGGCGCTGACCCTCAAGGCTACCGCTCTACCACTTGAGCAATAGCGCCACTTCCGGCTTTTTTCTTTTTGCGTACGTGGTGCTGAGGAATCAAACCCAGGGCCTCATGCACGCAAGGCAAGCGCTCTACCACTGAGCCACCTTCCCAGCCCGGCAGAATTGTTTTCTAAGCTGGAGAGTAAAGCTATCAAGTAATTCCCAAAGGGCTATGAGTGTTTACCAGTTTTCTGCCGTGATTGGTAATTCACTATGGTCCCAGAAACCACAATAATCTCGTTACTGTGTAATCAAGCTGACTTAAAACAGACTCTCATTCTAGACACCAGTAGCTCATGCCTGTAATCTTAGTTACTCAGGAGGCTGAGATCTGAGGATCACATTTGAAGCCAGCCCAGGCAGGAAAAGTCCTTCAGACTCTTACTTCCAATTGACTATCAAAAAGCCAGAAGTGGTAGAGTGCTATCCTTGAGAAAAAAAAAAAAAATTCTCAGGGGCAGCACCCAGACCCTAAGTTCAAGCACCAGGACCAGCACAAAAAAACAAAAAATAAAAACAAAACCACACAAACACGTGAAATTAATCTTATGAATTCCTTTAGGCATAAACACATACTCAAATACATTCACAGTTTTAAATAAACATGGCTCATATATTTTTTGGAAACGTTTCTTTATTCATGTGGTTATCTTTCTTTCTTCATTTCTCATGTTAATGAGATAGTATTAGGCTGGTATGTAGTTCAGTAGTATAACACTTGAAATGTCTTAGGTTTGACCCACAAGCATAGCAACTTAAAAAAAATAAAGTGTATACTTGAGTATTTCCATCTACAAATATACAAATATATGTATTTATAGTTACAATATGTACATACATATGTATAAACATGCATATACATACACTCAAGCACACATTCTCACATGCATATGCACATATATTGATTTGGCTTGTTTTTTTCTTACAAAAGTGAAATTATACATGCAGCTTGCTTACTTTTTAAAATTCAATGATATATCACCAAATATCAACTTATATAGCTCAAATTCATGTGCAGTGATAGCATAAAATTTCATGTTAGATGATATAGCATGTGAGGTCACTTCTCTATGGACAGGAACACACTTCTTCCATTTTGTTGGCAACAACAAAATGAGCCATACTAAAAGTGGTTTTAATACTCAATTAGAAATCATGTTATTTGTCCACATTTTCTTTTGTCCTTTCTATTATATGTGTGTGTGTATACATAGTTTAACACCAATGAAATCAAGGACATAATATTTTGCATATCACATTCTTTTGTTAACATTCAAGGTTATTTTCTAGTAGCTTCAATGCCTTTGTAATCATGGTTTATCAGCAGGAAAAAAATAAGATACAGGCTAATCAAGAGTGATGGATTTTTAATGGAAAACAAACTCATATGCTCAAGAGACTGCTCGATGTTTTTAAAAGACTTTTCAATCATAACTTTACTAAATATTCATAAATTAGTATGCCTCAGTGGAGGACTGATCTCATTGCTTATTACTTGTCAACAACTTTTACCTCTATCTTTGCTCATAAAGAGGTCATTTGGCAAAAAGTGATATGTTGGCTCATCAATATACTGAAGAAATCTTTATATTGTTATCTGTGAATATGGTGATGTAAATCTCAGCTAAAGGCACACCTGTATTGATTCTGGGCACAGGAATCTCTCCAGTGTGAAAATTTCAATGCTGCCTAATTTATGAACAGTCATAGGAGACTTTTCGCATTGATTACATTTAGAATGTTTGCTTGTGTGTGGTTTTCTTATACTTATTTCACTGAACTGTTTCTCTGGCATAAATATTGTGAAGTCCTTCAAGAGACTTTCTTTTGCTAAGAATTTTCTGCACTCATTACAGTTCTGTGATTCCTCAGGAGACTGAGTTTCCTTGTGCACCTGGAGGTTGGATGTGTGTGAGAGGCATTTCCACATGTTATGTGGACAGTTTGTTCTCTCCCATCTGAATTCTCTTGTATGTATCAATGTTAGTTGATGGTAAAATTCTTGTTCATAGTCACCGAGTTGCTCTAGAGTATGATTTGGTTTTTATAGATGATGGGTTAATGATGATTGAGTCTTTCCAGTGTTTACATCCATTTAAGAATCCTCCTATGCCACTCTTGTTTTGTTTCAAAAGCAACCACTGTAGACCCTTTCACAATGAAGAATGTCATGGAGATTCTGTGTTGTGTGAAATCTCTGAGGTATTAATATTCTGCCTGAATACTCTGTTACAATCACTTTACTTACAGGGTTTCTCTTCATTATGAATGATCACACATCAAATGGACAGTGTGCTATGAGCAAAACTTTCCCATATTCATGATATTCTTCGCACATGTGAAATGTCTGTTGTGTTATGCCACTAAATTCCCGCAGCTATCCTCTGTGAAATTACTTCTTGGTTTTAAAAATCCATTTTCCCTGCCTGGAGTTGGGCCTTTTAGAAATTCCTTCCCTTTCCACAGCAACTCTGATTCCCCTAACATACTGCTTGAATCTTCTAAGCTGGAAACCCAGATTGTGGGGAAAGCGACATTAATCAGAGCTACTCTGAATTCTTGTGCAGACTGCCTACAAGAAGAAAGAACAACTGAATGGTAAAACAAGGAAAAAAACAGTTGCTCTTGACACTTCATCTCTTCTCTGTTCAGAGGGAGATGTGTCATGTACAGTTGACATTTAGAACCACACACATGAAGGTCACTGACTCATGGAAGTCAGTTCAGCCATGGGGCTGAAATGTCAAGAACTCTGTCTTCCTCTGTACATACAACTAGGGAAGTAGGCCCAGGCAAAAATGGAGAAGACAATGACGCTGTATTATCACTGAGGATGCTATTCCCATATTCTGGAGATCAAAGCTTGTTTTCTCTGTCAAAAAAGAAGCCCATGTTGGTTTAACATTATCTTTACCACTAGTAAGTTGAGAAGTATATTCACAGGGGCATGTGCCATTAGATTTTTCTCTTCTGAAAAAAGCCAATTTGTCTTTTGAGTGTTCCTGTCTCTCTTTTCCAGTAATTTGAAAAGGTAATTAGAAAATTATAGATATTCATTTTGTCGTCTGTAATGCATACGATGTGTCACTTATCTATTAATTGTGTTTCACATAATTGCTTTATTAAAAGCACTCTGGTACATGTTTGTAATCCAAGCACTTGGGGGGACAAAGCAGAAGGTTTACACATTTGAGTCCAGCCCGCGATGCCTGAAAACAGCTTTTTTTCTTTTTCTTTTTTAAGCCATTCACATTTACAACTAAAGAAGCAGTCTCAGGCTCCAAGAAAGTTTCCATGTTGTTTTCAAGGTCAAGGAACAGTTACTATTACTTGTTGTGTTTCTCCTTCTTCATTGCCTGTACTGCTCTGTTCTCACAATTCACAGGATTGTTTTTCTTCATGATTTATTTTGGGCCTTTTCCTTCAAGATTTAGAATTCAGTGAGGCTATTTCTTTGATTTGATCTCTTAGGTCACCAATTTGAGGCCCAACAACCATCATTTTCTCTTCAGTTTCCATAATACATTTTTTCCAGAAAATCAAGGAAGTTACTGTTATAACTAATTTGTTTAAAATGACTTTTTAAAGTCATACTTGAACATCTGCCCACTAGTAATGTTTGTTTCTCTTTGGTATTCAAGTTATATCATGGCTGTTGTGTGTTTTTTCCAAAGTCCTTTCAATGTGTTATTTTCTAGTTCATGGAGCTATAATCCAGTCCTGGTACCTATGTCTCACATGGTAAACACTGCAGTCTCTAATTCAGGTGACCAGCTATTACAGTGGACAAACCATCATTCCATGGGGGAAAAATCAGGATAAAATCTATCCATCCCCTCTTCTCTTTGCTCCCTTTCAGCTTCCTTGACTCAGTGATGGACAGAAAGTAGCCCTACAAGTTGATCTTCCTGGATCCTACTGCCTTTGATCCCAAACTCCATCATTTTCCTGAAGTATTTCTCATATGAGCCTTAACATGACATCTTTGCCCCACAAACAAAACGAAACAAACCATGGATTGTCCCTAAGCTCTTAACCTGCATCAGCTTCCTCCCTCACACCCCCTCTATCCCACTATCCTTGCCAGCCAGCTAATGGAGCTGGGTTTGAGTCAGGAGTAGAGGAATGAGGACACTTTTCAACCCACCATCAACTCAGAATCCATACTCTGTGCATGTTAAAATGGTATCTAATCCTAGAAGAAAGGTAAAACTTTAGGGAAATAACCCCGGAACACCAATGGAGCAGTACACATGCACCACAGCACTCATGTACCTTTCTCAAGCTCAACTGGGAAAAGTTCCAGCTTTTCCACACGCTTCTCAAGTTCATATTCAGCAGATGCAGCCACAGGGTCAACTTCTTCATTTCTCCTATCATAGTCTTCATTGGAGTATGTGTTGAAAACCTGAAGTAATAGGCCAAGAACAAAATGAGAATACATTTTGCTTTCTCTACATAGAAAGGAAAAAAATCTTCTCGGTCACCAAAGCCATGGAACTTTATAAAAGTCAATAAGATGATTTTCTTCTAAACAATCATTTTTAAAATAAGTTTTTTATTGTGAAAATACTGTATAGAGGGGTTACAATCACATGAGCAAGGTAATGAGCACATTTCTTATTTTTTATCCAGCATTGTTGCCTCCTCCCTTGTTTTTTCCTACCATCCCTTCCCTCCCATCTCTACAACTACATTACCCCCTTCCCCCCGCCCCCAACCTAAATTGTAAAGTTCATTTTTCAACATAGTGTCTTGTACATCTCATTGTTGCAATGGGTCCACCTGTATTCCTATTTAAAGAATCATTTGTATTTAAGTTTAACTGAGATGTAAGAAAAAGGGAAAAAGTAACTTACTAATCTAAAAAAATATGAATCATTTTTTACCATCACAGAATGCATTATTTGAACAGCAGTATTCATCACCATTTAGATAATCAAAATGTAACAGATGAAATGGAATGTTATGTTGTTTCCTGATAAATCAAGGCAAGGCAAATGGAAGCTTCCTAACCAAATGCCACATTGTACCTCCTCTACAGTATCAACTAATTGGGACCAAGGACATAGCATGTCAAAACACATCAATGCTACAATTATGTCTTAATCACAACCATTGGAACTTTCTATTCTATCTTGTCCTGGACTATACTAGACTTTCTATTTTCTCATCTCTCATTGTTCTTGCATATGGATTTAAGTTAAATTTTCAATGGATATTTCTATTAAACAATTATCAAAATATTGTTCAAAAGCTGTAGGACAAATTAGGTTACTGAGAGTTTTCTAACATAAATCATTCAAAAAGATAAGACTAAAACAAATTGTGGCCTATAGGAAACTTGATTGCCCTTATTTCAGCTGAAATACTTGTTTTATTTGAAATGAAACTAAAGTAGTCACCAAATCATACACACCTGCAATCCCAGATTTTCAAAAGGCAGAGATAGGAGGATTGTAGTTTGAGAACAGCTGATGCAGAAAGTTAGCAAGACTTCATCTCAACAAACAAGCTAAATATGTGGCACACTTCTAGAGCTAGCCACTCAACATCAGAGGTAGGAGGACCATAGTTCAAGCCCTACATTTTTCCACCATATTGAAAATTATGTAATCAAAATGAACATCTCTATGTAATGGAGTCTATACTTTAAAAAAAATCCATCAGAATATGCTTCCTTCCACAGAACTCTCTAATTACACTTCCGACTTTCTCCTAGTACTTTTGATCTTTCACTTATATTTTCATCACTGTTCAACAAAAATGTATAGAGTACCATCTCTTGTCTGACATTGAACTGGACACTGGAGAAGGCACAGTTTCAAGCAGCTCATGGGTTAGGGGAGGGATACAGAAATAGAAATTAGCAACTGTGATATAAAGCAATAACTAATATAACAGGGATATTCCAAGTAATTTGTTATATTTGCCTGAGAAAAGGAAGAATTTTTTAGAGTGGAGAAAGTTTTAGTGCAATCTCAAAGAAAAGAGAAATTCTAGTATAGAGGAGAAATGTGTTTCAAATATAACATCACACACAATCTCAATACATATACACAAAAATGAGTAAAGAGAAATGTTTTTGAAAAATGGCCAACAGTTGAATGGACCACATACCATATTGCTAGGTGAGTAACTTCAACAACACACACACCAAATACGTATGTGGGCCTGGGTCTTACATGTCCTTGAAACTAATGTCAAGTGCAGCTGGAAGCAATTTCATTCCTGTCTGTTACTTATCTATCTCTTTCAAAGATTCAAGAACCTGATGGCATGGGTTTGAGTTCATTAAGGTAGTGCTAGTACATGATCAAATTCACCTGAACATAGTATGTAAATGAGTGAGAGAGAGATACAGTGAGAGACAGAGAAGGGGGGTGGAAAGAAACAGGGAAAAAGAAGAGGGGGGGAGGAGAGAAAGAGAATGATATATGTAAGGGCAAGGTGCTTTAAATAAATAAGCAATTTTTTTAGTATTTTTTTCAGGATAAAAAACACCCTTAACACACATCCTCCCAATTAAGACGCTATAAATCTCATTTTCAGATATTCCAAAATTAATAAAAAGAAAAATTTACAAGGTTATATTTAATACTAAAACTAATCATTTTTGAGTTATCAGTCAGGTATTTATATAGTCATTCTGTACAAGAAAAAATAACTTGTAAATTACAAGTGCATGCATAAAAAAGTTGAAAAAACTGGAATTCATTATTTTCATATTAAACGATTATTTACTTGGAACAAACAATAAATTCAACAGAAAAAATATTAAAACTAATTATTAGCAAAATGATGTTAAAAATTGGCATTCAAAAAGTATGCTTATCTTATAAAAATGTAAAAATAAATGAGAAAATTTAAAACTTAATAAAGTACTGCCTATAAGTATTCAAGGATTTCCTTCTCTAGAAACTTGAAAAAGAACATAACAAGCCTTAAAAAGTGTGAAGCAAAATTACCTTCCAGAATTGAAATCTTTAAGATAGTAAAAACACCCAATGCCTTGAATTACTGAAACAATATCTCAACTTATGAGTTCCCATCATAAATTTTAATCCCTACCTATGTTAATGGAAATAAATAAGCTGTTTGAATAAACATAGTGAAGAATGAAATAAACCTATTGTATAACAAAACAAACAATAAACTTCATCAAGTAAAAAACAATAAAGTTTTAGCCCTAGGGTAGATTTATTTTTAGATCTTATTTCATTTCATTCATTTTCTGTTCAAATTAATCACTGCAATCCATTTATTAGATTGTATTAAAAAAAGTGATATAGCTGAGGAGTCCTACTTTGAATCACTAACAAAAATAGAATTCAATGTAAATTTACCTTAAAATATGTGGGTAGGTAGTTCAAGACCTCCACTCCCCATAGATACAAAATCTATAGTTATTCCATTCCTTCATACAAAATTGATTAGTGTTTGTATATAACCCACACAACCTTCCCACACACTATAAATCATCTCTGGATAATTATAACACCTAGCACCATTATGAATGCTACATAAGTATTTGTTATATTACATTGTTTAGTTGGCCATGGTAAAGAAAAATATGTCAATATGTCTATGTTCAGACTTTTTCTCTGAATAGTTTCAATCTGTAGTTAGTTGAATCTATAGACATAGAAACCACAGATATACATGACTGATGATTTATACCATAAAAGTGTTAAGAGGGAAACTGGGACAATGTCCAATTAACAGACTAGAGAGAAATTCACAGATGCTAGAAATCATAAAGGACATGAATAAACTATGTAAGTAAAAATTAATGCTAAGGAGTTGGGATTATATATCTTAGTGGCAAATCCCTTGCATGGCAAATGTGTTGCCCTGTGTTCAATCGCTAGCACCACATGATCATAAGTAATAAAAATTTGTGTAGTTGGGCATGACAGTGTACACTGGGAATCCTTACACGCTGGAGACTCAGGAGACTGAGATGTGAGAATGACGATTCAATGCCAGCCAGGACAAGAAAAGTCCATGACAGTTTTTGCTCCAATTAACCAGCAAAAAATTGGAAGTGGTGCTGTGGTTCAAATGGTAGAGTGTTAGCCTTGAGGGGGAAAAGAGACCAAGCCAAAGTGTAAAGCTCTGAGTTCAAGCCCTAGTACCAGCAGGAGAGAAAGAGAGAGTGACAGAGACAGACAGACAGAGAGGGACAGAGAGACAGAAAGAAACAAGGAGAGGGAGAGAGAAAAGAATAAAGAAAAGAAAAAGTAAAGAAAAATATCAAGGAAATACAACAAGGTGAGACCATGTATTATAAGAAAGGTTTTTTAAAAAAAATCTTCAAGAAAGAGTGTAAAATATAAAGAGGACCTAAGGAAAAACAAACTTTTAAAAAGTCACCCAAAACTGAATTTGGGGATGGAGGAGAGGCAGGTTAGAGGGAACACACTTTCTTAGCAGATGTGAGGCTCTAGTTTATACCCCTAATACTGTTGTTTGCAAAATTCTAATTTGAAATGGCATTCATATTTTATGTGTAAATGCCTGTGGTCAAATGTTACCTATAAACAAATATTTATACAACTATTTGCAAAGGTGTATGTTCAAGAAAGTTCACGATAGAGCCATTTTAACAGTCCAAAGTGGGAAATCATCCACCGACAGTGAAAATCATGCTAACTCATGAAATACAGAAATAAGTAAATCTGCAGGGGCTGAGGAAATGCATATCTCTCATGATATGGAAGGCTCTGTGCCACACACATCAGTAACCCAGAAGGGCACAGTACAGACACAGTTTCATCAGACACAATACATCAGTTTCTATGACTCCCCACTAACTACTCTAGTTGAAAGCCTTCTAAATTCCCTACTTATATAGCTTTTAACAAGTCACAGAATCAGGCTTAGACTCTCTTTCTTTATTCACAAAGTAGCTGTTACAAAAATACTTGCCCCATGAGATTATTGTAAAAGCAAAATAAGGTAATCCATGCAATCATGTTTGGTTCAAAATGGGATGATAAGAAAAATAATAATTCCCTGGATACTTCCATAGCTTATACTGTCATCCACAACAAGCAGATTTTGAATGTTTCATCCACTATAATCCTTAATGCCACCTAAAGAAAATATAAATAAATGAATAAATAAATAAATAAATAATGTTGGAGTACAGCCTGTCAAAATCCTATGTGCAAGTGCATGTACAATTGATGCACATTGGTTTACCTGGACCAGGAAGATTCTCAAAACGGAAAAGAAGCTTGCTCTACATAAAGGTCTTCCCTTTCATCTATACTGATTTGATTCTCTCCCCTTCTTTATAAAAGTACTACTATTTATGCTTCTATTACCTTAACTGCTCTGCAAAAATATGGATAAATAATCAATAATAATCAGTGCTTAATCATGGTATTACTGTAACACACA